TATATATATATATATATATATATTATACCTTTCATATTAGTAGTTTTATTGTAGTCCTTGCTGTGTGAACAAATGGGTCTCTGATTCTTCTTCCTTCTCTTGGGCTCATTTCCATCTGGTGGTTTGCTTTGTCCAACTTTGATGTGATGATTTTTGTTTTGTTTTAACTGACTATATTTTATTTTGTTATGTTTTACTGTTTCTCTTTCTGTGTGTGTTTTTTTTCCAGACAGGGTTTCTCTGTATTGTTTTGAAGCCTGTCCTGAAACTCTGTCTGTAGACCAGTCTGGCCTTGAAATCATAGAGATCCACCTGGCTCTGCCTCCCGAGTGCTGGGATTAAAGTTGGGCGCCACCAACACTCAGCTTAATAATATCTCTTAGAAACATATTCTTTTCTATTGAGGAAAAGAAAGCAAGTAGATCTGGAAATGTGTGGGAGGGAACTGAGAGTAGTAGTGGGAGGTGAAACTCTAATTGGGATAGATTTTATGAGAATATAATCTATTTTTGATAAACGGGTGGAATATCTGGGATTCATATGTCTCCATCTCCCCAGTACTGAGCTTACAAGAATATCATCACTCCTATCATTTATATTTGTCCTGAGGATATGAACATTAGTCCTCATGCATGTATGGCATATACTATATTCACTGACCCATCTGCCAATTCCCTGACCTTGCTTTTTTAATGCATTTGGCTGCATATTTCTCTGACAACATGTTACGTGAGAAATCTATTATAAACTTCCCTGTGATTAAATATAATCCAAATTCCTTTTATTCTGCTTCAGTTGTAAATAAAAATACTTAACTGATATGTAAAAATATAAATATTAGGCCACTAAAATGGCTTACTTGGTGGGAGTACTTGCAGCTTAATCTGAATAATCCAGAGGATCCACAAACTAGAGGGAGGAAAATGACTGCCTAAAGTTGGTCTCAGACAGGTGTAATATGGCACACATGCACCCACACATATGCACACAAAATAGATAATAATATAGTAGATAATAAATGTAATAAAAATTATAAATATTTTACACAATAATAAGCTAATATAGTGATCTGATGCCTGTTTATAGTGTGTAATTTTGAAATCAGGTAAATGAAATAGTTTACTTAATAACACCAGAGTTATGCAATATAGTGAAAGGATTCAAAATTTATCTGCCTTTTTGAAATATGAGGCACATTCTTACTATCTATAATCAGCTCACTATCTATGTCAGGATTCCTTACTCCCATCGATAGATTTGTACCTATTAATCAATCTGCCTTATACTTGTCCCCCATCTGTGCCTCTGATCATTACCAATTTGCTTTCGGTATCTACAACATCAGCTTTTAGGTTGCACATGTCAGTGGGAAAACACCACACTTGTCTTTCTGTTTTTGGCTTATTTCAGTTAGCATAGAGGCTCACTTTCCTCCATGCTGTAGACAGTCACCTCATTTCAGTCTCATTGAGGCAGAATCCAATTCATTTGTGATTGTTCTGTTTTATGTTCTTTTAATAAATGATTTATTGTAGCAGAAAGCATTTTGTTTAAAATTTATATACCACATTTTTTCTACTCTTCCCAGTTACATAAGTGATAGCTTATGTATTAATTATATTCACAGTATCATATCACCTTCATCTATATGTCTTTAAGACATATTTTATTCATTCTAATTGGAAAATTTGTATTTATTGAAGGTCTCCCCATGTCTCTCATTTCCCTCCTTCTGAAAATCTTTCATTTATCATCTAATTCAAAATTTATAGAGTTATTGCTGATGTCTGTGTATGTGTCCATATGTAATCATGCTTTAATCATTATATATTATAATTTATTGGCAAATTTTAATATCATACAGGTTAATCTGTTACTTCCTCCATCATTGTTATAATCAATAAGGTATTAGTTCTTTTTTATGTGGTGTGGATATCTTACAATATCCAACATCAAACCATTTTATTTATAAATCCAATGGTCATAATTTTTAATGAAAATAATACATTGTTCATTGATAAATTTCTCACCTTTTCCAAATATAAATGTGTATAACTGTTACTATATCTATCACCTGTCTACACATCTATCATCTATTGGTCTATTTGTTGTCATATTATCTACTATCTATTATGTACCTCCTTGGTTTTAGTATTGCACTCTGTAGTCCATTGGTCTCTATGTTTATATCAAAGTAAACCTCAATATCACTTCTACGTTTATTTTTCTTACAAATAGACTTTAATATAATATATTCTGATTATGGTTTCCAATCTCCAAAATCCTCCCAACTCCTTCCCCTCTTCTTCCCACCCAGATCCACATCTCTTCTGTCTCTTCTTACAAATCAAGCAAGGCATCTAGAAAATAATAATAAAATAAAGTAAAGTAATTTAAAGATGCAAACAAATCAGATTAAGAGAAAACAAACAGAAGAAAAATAATGAAAGAAAAAGCATGAGAAACACATATGCAGAGGCAAAGAAGGTCACATACACAGTAATCCCATAAGAAAACATAAAACAGTAAATCAATACAACATACAAACACACACACACACACACACACACACACACACACACACACCATGCACATGCAAAGGACCTGTGGGGCAGTTTGAATGCAATTGACCAACATAATCTCACAGGGAGTTGCTCCATTAGGAGCTGTGGCTTTGTTGGAAAGGGTACAGCCTTGTTGGAGGATGTATACCACTGTAGGGGCAGACTTGGAGAATTCTTATGCTCAGGATACATCCCAGATACTCAGTCGACTTCCTGTTGCCTGCTTATCAGGATATAAGGAGTCTTGCCTCCAGGTCCCAGTCTTCCTGCACATTACTATGCTCCCTGTCATGATGATAATGGCCAGAACTTCTGAAACTGTAAGCCAGTCACCCCACTTAGATGTTTTTCTTTGTAAGAGTTGTTGTGGTCATGGTCTTCACAGCCATACAAACCCCAAATTAATACAATCTGCAAGGTTAAAAAAATGCCCTACACAACTGTAAGAGAGAAAGAAATCCTAAAGATTTCATTTTATGTGTTCATTTTATGTTGGCCATCTAGTACTGGGCAGAGGGCGTACCCATAAGAGTGGTTTGTTTCCCCAGTGTGACCGCTTTGAGGAAACATTTTCTTTTGTGAGCAGTTAACAATAGAAGATAGGTTCTGGGTTAAGAATCAGAGCTTGTGGACTCTTTCCTTCTGAATGCTGGGATACAATATGATGCTGACCCGTGCATGCCATGGGTATGATGCTACAGTCTCTGTGAGTTTTTAGGTATGTTGTTCTTCTGTATTGAGAAGACCATGCTTCCTTGGTGTCCTTTATCCCCTCTGGCTCTTACTTTCAGCTACATGCCATGAGAACTACAATTCATGACCTGTCAAGACATGCCAATTAGTGCAATAGTATCATGAATTCATTGGAATGAAACAACCACTCTGATGTTATTTCAAGACCATTTAATGAGATGTAACCCTTACCTGGCATCACTATCCCACAGCCAAAAATCTGTGGCTAGATTGTTAATAGATATTTTACTTAGTCATACATTTTTGTGAGGAGATACCATGACCAAGAAAACTTAAATGAAAGACTTTATTGGGACTGACAATTTCAGATGTTTAGTTTTAGTCCATAACCATTGTTGTACGGGAGCTTGGCAGCAGGCATTAGAGAAACAACTCAGATCCTACATCTTAATCAATAAGGATAAGCACTGAGCATAGCATGGATTTTTGAAATGTCGAAGCCCATGCACAGTGATATACTTCTCCATACTTCCCAAATAAGCCTACCAACTGGGAAAAAAGCACTCAAACATATTAGTCTGTAGGGGCCATTTTTATCAAAACCATCACATAAAACCAAGAGGATAGACTGCTACTGCAGTTCTGTTAAATTGATACAACATTAAAATTACCCCTCATGATTTGTCATTATACTCTTAGAATAGTGCACCCTCCAAGCTTCTTCACTGTGGTTTCCTTTGGGCACTAATTACAGAGACTCAAAATTGGTTAAGTTTCAGTGAAGAAGAGATGGTGAAGTGCTCATCCCTAAATGAAACATTATAACACCTCCCTCCCCACAAAGTTCAAAGGGAAGAAAGATTGCAAGAGCCAGAGGAAATGGATGACTACAAGGAAACTGTTTTATGAACCACCAGAGCAACTGGACATAAAATCTCACAGAAGATGTGACAGAGTACACAAGAGCAGAAGCTCAAGTCTGAATAATAAAAATCCCAACAAGGAGCAGGGATAAAGATGTGAAATACAAATAGTCATATAGTCTCTCCCCTAGCAGAGGAGATATTGCAAGGGAGAAAGAGTCGATTTTCCTTAAGGCTTTTACTAATAGTACATTACCCATGCTCCAAAGTAGGCAGAAATGCAATAATATGTGGGCAATAAATCTAGGCTTGATGCATACAATGCTGCGTGTGAATATAGGTGTATGTATGTGTGAGACAGACACAGCAACAGAGACAGAGACACAAGAAGCAGAGAAAGAGAGACGTAAACAGAAATACAAAAACAGAGAAAGGCAGGGAGATAGAGACAGACAGGGACACAGAGACAGAGACAGACAGAGAGATAGAGACTGAGACATAAGCTGGGTGGTTATGTAGGTAGGGAGGTAGAATGAATTTGGTAGGAGGTTGAGGTTGATTTGAATAAGAAATGTCCCACAAGGCTCAAGCATTTGAACATCTGATCTTCAGTTGACCATGCTGTTTGGAGAGGCTATAGGGAGTTTCAGCCTTACTTTAAGAAGTAGATCAGCATGGGTGGGCCTTGTGTTGTTAAAGCTTTACCTTACTGCCAGTTCACTCTGACCAAGTAACTGTGGTTAAAGATATGATCTGCCTGCTTCCTTGTCCTGTCAACACACTTCCTCTTCCTGTTTTGTCTCTAGCCTACCATCATGGATTCATTTTTCTTTCTCTCTCTCTCTTTCTTTCTCCTTTTTTCTTTGATTAACAGCTTATTTTGAAGGTTGTTTTAAAAACAAAATAAAAGACAATCTAAGAAAAAATAGGCAGATGACAATGATTAAGTAAGTGTGGTGATTAAATCATACGAGGGGGATATGTTCTCTTTTGCAACTCCAGAAATGAGTTCTCTGGTCCTGAACATTCTCAGACTTTCAGATGGGGAAGAGGAAACACGACAATTAAAGTGGCCTTATAATAATGTATAACTACAATTGTTGAGGGATATTTGTACAATGTGTGAAGATGTATCACTGTGATTAGTATAACAAAAAGTTGAATGGGCAGGGAGAACTCTGTGAAGAAGAAAGGCAGAGTCACCAGCCAGATGTGAAGGATGCAGGATGGGTTTTGCTGAGATAAGATAATGAACCTCATGAAAGAACATAGATTAAAAATAATATGGGTAAATTTAAACTAAAAAAGCCTGTTGAAAATAAAACAGCTGAAGCTAACACTGATCTTTCATGATTAATAATAAGTCTCTATGTAATTATTTGTGAGCTGAGGGCCCAAAGAAAAATCCCATTACAAACAAATACAATCAAAGTTATTCTGTTTTACTCCAAAGAAATCAGTTTGTCTTCAAACCGTGCCTTAGTTTTTAAAAGATAAGGTGATAGAAATGCATTGGGAATTGCTGGCCTTTCTTTTGCAAACACAGCAAGTTACTGTAATAAGAGAGACATGACAACCTGATCCAGGCAGGCACAGGTTAGCAAAGACTATAGATCTATCTTCTGTTTTGATGACTTTCTATATTAGTTTTCTCATTTTCAACTATCCTCTCAGCATTGTTTATAAGGCCATACCAGAGTGAGCATTTCCTTCACACTGCAACTGCACAATCATGTTTGTTCCTGCTCTATTCATAAGAGCCAGAAACTGGAAATGACTTAGATGGTCCTCAACAATAAAGAAATGCGGTACATTTGCACAATGGGGTATTGCTGTGGGATAACCCTTCTGTAAGCTGTGAATCTATGTTATCACCATTAGTTAATAAAGAAAATGGTTTTGCCTATAGTAAGGCAGGATAATACCAGCAGGAAATCCAGGCAGAGATACAGGCAGAAGAAGGGTAGAGACACACACAGATGCGAGCAAGCTGCCAGAGCAACAAGATGTAATAGAGAGCAGGCAATGTCATGAAACGACTTGGCAAAATATAGATGAAACTGGTTAATTTAAGTTGTAAAATCTAGTTAGTAATAAGCCTGAGCAATAGGCCCAACAGTTCATAGTTAATATTAAACCATTGAGTCTTCATTTCTAATAAAGACTACAGGTATATAGGACCAGACATTTGCTGAGACATTTATATACATATAAATATGTGTATACTTTCAGGCACACGGAGGAAACTAGCAAAAATTCATCCTGAGTAAGGTAACACAAACACAGAAGAATAAATATAGTAAGTATTCCCTTATGTGTGTTTTAGGCATACTTTGAACATTTCTCAGCTTCAAGCCACCCCTCAAGCCACTGGAGCAGTGTAAGTATGGGTTCTACCTCATGGAGTGAAGACAAAATACATCAGTAAGTGGTTAATTCCTCCCACAACATTATTGACACTATTGCATCAGGATATATTATAAATATGTCATTGATAAAGGTCACAAGATTTTTAATTTGTTGATATTGTGATCTTTCCCTTTGTTTATTCTATTTTTATTAATATACATCATTAGTCATATAAGATGTGTTTTGTTAGACTATTTCTACAGGTGTTTCAATTTTCCCATTATAGTCTGCCTGATTAATTGTGTTATAAATTGTTAAATGTTTGTTGTCTCACTTTGGTTTCAGTTTAGAATGTTGCTCTTTCTCTCCATATTTATTAAGCTATGTGTTTTTGTCTCAAATAATATTCCACATATATGTGCTACGATAAATCTTTTTGCCAAAAGCCGCCTGAGCCCCACCACCACGTGCGAGCTTTACGCCAGCCGCCCGACTGAGTTAGACCCAAATGAATACACAGAGAGACTTGTATTAGTTACAAAGCTGCTTGGCCAATGACTAGGATTCTCATTTGTTAGCTCAGTCTCAATTACCATACATCTATATATTTTATGGGACTTATCTTATCGGACGCCTTATTGGCGTCCCTCCTTCCTGGTGAATCACATCATGCTGCTGGAGCAGGAACCGAGGGGAAAAGAGGGCCCTTCCTGTTTCTCTTTCACTTAAATATGAGTCTCCTTGCTATGTCACTTCCTGTCTGGATTAGCACTTCTCTACTACATTTCCCAGAATCCTCTTTGACTCTTAGTTCCGTCTAACTTGCTGTCTAATTGGCCAAACAGTATTTTATTCAATAATCAATAAGATAAACATACATAGTAGTACATTACCCATCATATATGCTTAAGTTTCATAATACATTATAGGTTTTCATCATTAAATATTTCTAAATTATTTCCCTCATATATTTTACTAGTAAATCACAATATCCAACAGGCCAAGTTTCTTCTTATCATTTTATATTAATATAGCATAATCTTCTTTGACATAGTTTTTCTTCTATATTCCTGTCTTTTGTCTCTTCCTTTTCATTAGTTTTGGATAAATGGTCCTTGTGTTTTCATGTCTTTTACTGAAAAATTAAATATATATATATATATATATATATATATATATATATGTGTGTGTGTGTGTGTGTGTGTGTGTGTGTGTGTGTATGACAATATTTCTTTTGAGTTTTGCTTACTTAGCAGGATAATGTCTATTTCCATCCAATTTCTAGCAAACAGTCTGATTTAATTATTTCTTATAATAGCCAAGTAATAGTTCATTGCAAGTAAGTACCACATTCTCTTCTTCCATTCATTCTCATATACATTTAATTGAAGATGGCATTCATTATCATTAAGGAGTGATGCATGTTAGTTAACAGCCAGACATGGTACTAGAGAAATAGCTGAGAATTCTACATCTGCATCATGAGGCAACAGGAAGAGAGGAAGAGGTACCAGCTTGAGCATTTTAAATCTCAAACCTTACCCCAGTGACACACTTTGCCAACAAAAACACATCTCCCACTAACGTCACTCCCTAAGAACCAAGCCTCCAAATACATGAGCTTATGGAGGCTGTTCATTTTCAAACCACCACATATAGTAAAATGGGATTTTCTCCTCAGTGTGTGCAGTCTTTGTCACTGTCTAAAGAACAGAAGCATTTGTTATATCCATCAACAAGTTATTACTAAACACTGGCCAAGCCTTTTACAAAGAATGTTATTGAATTATACTCAGTAACAACCATGATATTTATTTGGTATAATAATAATGTTTCAGAGAAGATGAACCGAGGGAAAGATGCACTTTAATTGTGGTCAGTACCATCTTATGGTCTTCAAGATTAAATTCAATAAGACAGAAAGAGAGAGAGAGAGAGAGAGAGAGAGAGAGAGAGAGAGAGAGAGAATTGCACAGTCAAAGACAAAATTTTAGTTACTTTCCTTTCTGATTGGCTAAGTGGGTATGATCCTGCCACCTTTCCTTTCCCACGGTGATAGACAGTATTTCATGAACTATAAGTTAAATAACACTTCCATGCTGTTACTCACTTCTTGTCAGGTGTTTAATCATAGAAGCAAGAATAGTAATCAATCCATACCTTGTCATTACATTCTGATTTTTTGTGTCCAGTAGGACCTCTTTTCTGAAATTGGGTAGACAAACATTCAGATAAATATTTGTTTATAATATAATCTCAATATTATAGAATATTCCCTTCATTGGAATATAGTGACTTTCATTATCTCCTCTCACAAATCTTGTCTAAAAAATTTGCTTACACAGATGCCAGTGTAGCAACTTACACTTGCTTTCATATTCTACTTGCCTAGGTTATAGTCTAGACTTTCACTTTCAGTCTTATGTTTTGCCACTGAGTTTCTAGCAGTTAGTAAAGTGTTGTTTTTTAAGTCCATTAAATTAGTCTGATTTTATAAAAATAAAAATGGAAGTGTCAAGAACACTTGTAGTGCTCACTTCAGCAGCATGTAAACTTTGGCTGGGACAATTATAGGATGATGATCATGGGCATTGTACAAAAAAAAGTCATGTAAATTCTTGTGTTCTGTGTTTTTTTTGTATTTTTTTTTTTATCAGTTCAAATTAGGTACAAGCTTGCTTCATATGTCAATCCCTCCTCCCACTCCCTCCCCTCCCCCTAATTCTCCCCCCAACCTCCCACCTGCCCCCCACCCCATCCACCCTCCATTCCCCAGGCTGGGTAGGGCCCTCGGCGGGGGCTCCCCAATGTCCAACACATCATCCTCAGCTGGGCCTAGGCCATCCCCTATGTGTCCAGCTGAGACATGGGATGGGCTCACAAAGTCCCTTCTTACACCAGGGAAAAATACTAATCCACTACCAGGGGCCCCTTACAGTGCAGAGGCCTCCTCATTGACATCCATGTTCAGGGGTCTGGATCAGTCCCTTGCTAGCCTCCTAGATAGCAGTTTGGGGTAGATGTGCTCCCCATTGTTCAGGCAAGCTGTTTTTTTGTGGGTTACACAAGCCTGGTACCAACCCCTTTGATCTTCCTTCCTCCCTTTCTGCAACTCAGTTCCAGAGTTCAGTTCAGTATATATCTGTGGGTGTCTGCCTCTGCTTCGATCAGCCACTGAATGAGGGCTCTAGGATGGCATAAAAGTAGGCATAAGTCTCACCATAGGGGAAAGGCATTTAGGCAATCCTCTCCAACATTTCCTAGATTGTCAGTTTGTGTCATCCTTGTAGATCTCTGGAAATCTCCCTAGTGCCAGATCTCTCCTTGGACCTATAATGGCTCCCTCTGATATGGTATCTGTCATCCTGCTTTCCTCTATTCTTCCCCCAACTCAACATTTCTGGTCCTCCATTTCCTCCTATCTCCTCTTCTCCTCTCATTTTGGCAGTTCCCTCTCCCCTACCCTCATGCTACCAATTATCTCAGGAGATCCTGCCCCTTCCCATTCTTAGGGGTCCATGCAATTTTCCCATAGAGTACTGAGAGTACTGCTTGCTTCCTAGTTTCTTTGGTGAAGTGGATTGTAGACTGGTAATCCTTTGCTCTATGTCTAAGAAACATATATGAGCGAGTACATTCCATGTTTGTCTTTTTGTGATTGGGTTACCTCATTCAGGATGGTTTCTTCTATTTCCATCCATTTACCTATGAATTTCAAGATTCTATTGCTTTTTTCTGCTGAGTAGTACTCCATTGTATAAATGTTCCACACTTTCTCTATCCATTCTTCAGTTGAGGGGCATCTAGGTTGTTTCTAGGTTCTGGATATTACAAACAATGCTGCTATGAACATGAGTGAACATATGTCCTTGCTGTATGAACATGCATTATTTGAGTATATGCCTAAGAGAGGAATTGCTGGATCTTGAGGTAGACTGATTCCCATTTTTCTGAGCAACCACCATACTGATTTCCAAAGTGGTCTTACAAGTTTGCATTCCCATCAGCAATGGAGGAGTGTTCCTTTTTCTCTACATCCTCTCCAGCATAGATTGTCATTGGTGCTTTTGATTTTAGCCATTCTGGCTGGTGTAAGATTGTATTTAAGAGTTGTTTTGAGTTGCATTTCTCTGATGGCCAATGATTTTGAGCACTTTCTGAAGTGTCTTTCAGCCATTTCAGATTCCTCTGTTGAGAATTCTCTTTTTAGTTCTTCACCCCAATTTTTAATTTCATTGTTTTTTATTTTGGTGGCTAGCTTCTTGAGTTCATTGTATTATTTTGGAAATCAGCCCTCTGTCAGATGTAGGGTTGGTTAAGATCTTTCCCCATTCTGTGGGCTGCCTTTTTGTCTTGTTGACTGTGTCCTTTGCCTTACAGAAGTTTCTCAGTTTCAGAAGGTCCCATTTATTAATTGCAGATCTCAATGTCTGTGCTATTGGTGTAATGTTAGGAAGCAGTCTCCTGTGCCAATTCATTCAAAGGTATCTCCCACTTTCTCTTCTAGAAGATTCAGTGTGGCTGGATTTATGTTGAGCTCTTTGATCCATTTGCACTTAAGTTTTGTGCATGGTGACAGATATGGATCTATCTGCAATCTTCTTTCTGCATGTCTTAATCCAGTTGTGCCAGCACCATTTGTTGAAGATGATATCTTTTTTCCATTGTATAGATTTAGCATCTTTGTCAAAAATAAGGTGTTCGTATGTGTGTGGGTTTATATTGAAAGACTTAAAAATTAGCAAAGAAATTTAGCCCAGAAACAGACTAAGGCCACTTCTATGACTTACTGCCTGGACTTTACCAGCCACCAGCAATTACTCCCTTACAAGGCCATAAGATAACTGGGTACCAAGAATTCCCAGATGGCCACCCTCCCCCGAGGGGCTCAAGAAGGAAACAGATTGCCCCACTGGCCAATGTGTCAACAATTAACAATTAAGGGTCCCTATGAAACAAAGAGATAGCTACCATTTGCTCAGGCAAAATTAGTTAACACATCCTGAGGTCTGCGGGTTTTACAACTGGTGGGTCAGGAGGCCATCTGATTTCCAGCCCTCTCCTCAAGACAAAGGGCCTCTTAGGAACCCATGACTCTGGTTACGTACTCAACAGACAGAGATTCGCAGCCCCTCCCTAAGCTTGTGGGTTTTGCCTTTAAAAACACCTGTGCCTGGGGGACTGAGCTGCCCTCTAGCCTGCGTGCTGAGGAGGCCCATTTGTACAAATGTTCACCTTTCATTAAAGCCTCTTGCTGTTTGCATCAAGTTTCTGCCTTCGCATGGTGATTAGGGTGGCCTCGGTCCTGGTCTGAGATCCTGGGGGGTCTTACAATATCAGGGTTTTCAATTTGATTCCTTTGGTCTATCTGTCTATTTTTTGTGCTTTTACCAAGCTGTTTTCAGAACTATAGCTCTATAATAGAGCTTGAAGTCAGGGATGGGGATGCCAGAAGACCCTTTATTGTACAGAGTTGTTTTGGCTATCCTGGGTTTATTTTTTTTCTTATAAAGTTGAATATTGTTTTTTCAAGGTCTGTTAAGAA